TTGTTAATAAACAAGATGCGTATCAGGGTGAAATTGATTCTGAATATGTGGCAAAGGGGAAACGGTTACCTGATAATACGTTACGATGGGACGTTGTGGATGAGAAGGAGAGTGATGATGGTGTGTTTTTGTTTGCGGAGGATGCGGATGATGAGGATGATTGGGTGCCGTTGGATAGTGAGGAAGTTACAAAGTCGCCGGTTGGCATGAAACAACGTGATCGAAAGCATTTGATTGTGGGGTCGAGGAATTCTAGCCGAAGTCGAAGTAGGGAAATCCGAGGGCGATAAAGGAAAATTCCATTTGTAAAAGTTATCGGTATCGATTTTGTATCTTTTTTGATTTGCGTTTTTTTGACTTGTGTGCATTATATTTCATAGACCACATTTATTTTTTCCTTAAACTGTAAACAACGTAAAAAAAATCTTGAACGCTATTCTTTACAAAGTATTTTTTAAAATTTTTACCATATTCCGCGGATATTTGTCAAATTCCACATATCATGAGCTTGGAGTATTTGGAGCGATAAACTCGACCAAAATTTTTTTTTATGTTTAATTTTCGTTGCTCTTAAGCGTTTATAGTTTAACGATCAAGATTCTGAGATCAACTCACCTTTCTCCTTGTGATACTCTCAAATTACGTTTCGCGATATCCATATTTATTTTTGTTTCTTTAATTTGGCCTCTAAATTCTCGCCGATTCATGTTCTCCTGCTGTTTCATCTTTTGAGCTTGTATGAACGAAAATACATCAACCGGTATCTAATTTAAATTTTTGTTCGGTATCAATTTCCATTTAACGGGAAAGTATCAATCGTCGATCATCAAATTCCAGTGCCTGTGACGGTTTTGGGAATACCCACACAATTTTTATACTATTTCTGGTTTCAATCCGAGAACAACAAATAATGTAAATTTACCGATGCAATTTTTTTATGTTCTCGAATATAATACGCACGAGTTTATGGAATAAAGTTTAGACCAAGGTGTTCTCACTCGGAAATTTGAATTCTGTAAAATTATACCGGTTTAACATTTACGGTCTCAATCTAGTCATTCACATAAGAAAGTCTTATTCAATAACTTGCGATTCTATATTATATTTTTAAAAAATAGAACATCAAAATTTCGGCGTTACAGAATTTTTCTCACTATTTTGTTGCTAACGTTCCAAAAAAAACACGGGATATTTTCTCGCAGTATTAAACTTGGTGAAAATTTTTTACGAATAATTCTGCCTTAAAATGTAATTTGGTTTTATTCTATTAATCGTTTATGGTTTAGAAATCAAGATTTCAATCATCACCTTTCTCTTTACAGCACTCCCAAATTAAACATTCTGTCTGTTTAACGTGATACTTTTAAGCATAATATCTTTCGCAGATACCATCAAAGTCTCAATTCCGATCTAGCAGCAAAAATGTGCATCCGGTTTTCGAAAATTGCCAGCAATTTTCTATCATTTCATTTGTTTACAGTTCGAAGTTAATAAAAAATATCAATATAGCGATTAAATTATAGTTTTTTCCGCATCGTTATTGAGAATAATGTGTGGAATATAAAATCTCTCATAAAGCAATCGTTTGTTCCACAGTGAAAAGAAATGCTCACTGTCAGCAGTCTAAAGTTTATCATGCAGTATTTGATAAATCTTATTGAACTTGGAAACGATTCTTAGACAAATAAAATTCACAGAAAAGTTGTTTTTTGGCTCATGTTTCTTCGTCGAACACTTAAACTTTTTCAATTTACTTTATTTTATGGTAAATATGTATTATTCACATGTGAACGCATTTATCTGCATAGTTTTGGCATATCCAAGTTCTGAATTGAAGCACTTTACTACGTACCTACTTTCGGAGATCAAATGTCCAGTTTATCAAATACGGTCATATGATGGATTGAATACTTTTCTACAGATATAATGCGTATTACGCTGTTTTTGCTTGAAAGTTCATTGCTTATATTTTTGTTCTTAATCGGATACTCAACATCGGTGCAGGTGCCCCAATTTAAATGTAAGATATACTATTTCTCATGTCATTTTGTTATCACCAAACAATACTATGTATCTAAATACGAAGAATAAACCCCCGGAATCGCTCAAAAAAACCCACATCAAGATTTCCACACTCCCGAAGTTCCGACAATAACTTTATCATTCTTCGGTGCATTATTGCTGTTATTGCTGCTGCTACTGCTGTTATTGTTATTTGATCGTGACACTGCCACCAGTTCTTTATCTTTCTGTATTTCGATTCCTTTCAAATAAATTATCAGACAAAAAAAAAACGTACCAAAGAATACTTTTCTTTTCCTACCTTGCACGACTTTTTTAACGTCATCAGCATTTAAAGTCTCATGAATAATCAACGCTTTGGCCAACCGATGCAACTCTTCCTTTTTCGAGTTCAATAACTTTGTCGCTCTGACTCTCGAAGCCTAGTCCACCAAAAAACCCCCCAAATTAAACACATTAACAAATTTCAACACATCCTTTCAAAAGACTCACCTCTAGCAACTCCTTCACCTCAGCCTCAACATCACTCTTAATCTTTGAACTCGCCTTCTCAAGTTCCTCAGGCGACATACAAATCAACCCAATCTTTTCACTCATTCCATATCTAGTAACCATCTGCCTAGCAATATTATTCGCATGCTCAAAATCATTCGACGCCCCAGTCGTAACCTCCTCCTTACCAAAAATCATCTCCTCCGCTATCCGTCCTCCCAAACAAACATCCAATCTCGCCAACAACTCCTTCCTCGTAACCGACGTAACATCACCCTCAGGTAACTGCACAGTAACACCCAACGCATTCCCACGAGGAATTACTGTAACTTTATGTAGCGGCATTGCACCTGGTGTGTACATGGCAATAATCGAGTGTCCACCCTCATGATAAGCCGTAAGTTCCTTCGATTCTGGTGATATAGCTTTTGACTTCAACTCGGACCCCATGATAATCTTATCTTTCGCCCACTCCAACTCTTCATTTCGTATGGCTCGTAATCCCAGTTTTGACGCTCGAATAGCTGCTTGGTTTATCAAATTTGATAAATCTGCGCCTGAGAAGCCTGGCGTTCCGCGGGAAATTAAAGAGAGATCAACCTCCGGTGCAAGTTTCACGTCTCGGGAGTGGACTTGGAGGATCCTTGTGCGCCCGATTACGTCTGGCAGTGGTACTGCTACGTGGCGGTCGAATCGGCCGGGTCGCAGTAATGCTTTGTCTAGTGATTCGACTTGGTTAGTTGCTGCAATAAAAATTACTCCAGAGGTGGATGAGAATCTATGTTGAAATACGTTAGAATATTCAATAAAACAAACTCATGCTGTGGTTTTTACCCATCTAGTTCCACCAACAACTGATTCAAAGTTTGTCGCATATGACTTTGATCCCGAGCGTTTCTCTTGGTTCCAACAGCATCAATCTCGTCAATGAAAACAATACATGGCGCCTTTGCTCTAGCCGCCGCAAACAATTCTCTCATTCGCTTAGCTCCAACACCAACATACATCTCATCAAACTCCGACCCGCTCATTTGGAAAAACGGTACTCCGGCTTCTCCTGCTACCGCCCGCGCCAAGTGTGTTTTGCCCGTTCCCGGTGGGCCGTAGAGTAAGATTCCCTTAGGAAGTTTCCCACCAACACGTAAGAATTGATCGGGTTCGCGGAGGAACAACACAACCTCTTCTAATTCCTGCTTGGCCTCATCTACTCCTTGCACATCGGCAAACTTTACCAACTGGTCCTTATTCTGGTTTGCATTAATTTCCAGAGACATTCCTACAGGAATCATATGCATTATTCTTAAATTAAGCCATACTTGCTTGTAAGTTTCATTTACCGTTACCTGGCTTAAGCACACCGTACTGATCCAATAAAACCGACAATCCCGTAATAATAACAATTCCGGTAACAACGCTACTAATAACTTTCCTCGAAAACTTCCCCCAACTCCACGCCTCGGAAATAATAACCTGCACCGGCGTCGTCGACCCATTATCCCCGTTTCCACCATCATTCTGATATCGATGTTGTTGTTGTCCTTGTCCACTTTTCGCCACCGCTTGGTTCCATACATCCTTATTCATTTGTAACCAATGCGCTCGTGGTTCTCCGTAGGCTTCAGGAACTACCCGTTTCTTTACGGCACTTTTGAAATTACTCGATGTCGAAGATGTACCAGACGCAGATGCCGAGATGGACAGCACTTTTTCAACCAATTCGTCAACTCTACCTTCCTGCGCCAACGCCAATGCATATAACCGTAAACATTCCAAATCACTCTGAATTGATTTCTTTTGTAGTGTCGAGGATACTTGTGGTTGTTCTTCGAAGCGTTGGATTAAATCCTTTGTTAAGCCTTGTTTAAGCAATTGTCTATAGAATTCCGCTTGGGATTCAGGGTTTATTGCGTTTTCGGGTGAATTCGCGGATGATTCTAAGGATGATAATCGGCGGGAAAAGTATGTGCGTTTTTGGATTGAATGGTGGATGTGTCGATGTCGTGGGAATGTTGTCGTTGCGGTGGTGAAAAATATTCGGGGTGGTGTGGGGATTGAAGGGGGAGAAAACTGTTGGATGGGTTCGGGTTCGGAGGTTTGGAACAAGCTGTATTCGTTTAGATGAATTGGTGGCGGTAAGGGAGTCGAAGAATTTTCAGGTTTTACGATAGGGTTGTTGAGCAATTCTAACAGAAATTGCTTCGAATTTTGAAGCAGGTCTCTGGACTGGTCAACCTGTAAATACATAATGATTAAGAAATGAATAAAAAACTTAGTACGAGAGTTAACATACAGACAAAGAAAGGAAATTCGAACGAAGTCGGGCGGATAATTCCAATATCGGAACTGAAACATTTGTCATTGCCATTTTTAATAATTTTGACAAAATTGACGCATCGCGAAAAATTTTGAGTTTGTTGCCAAAAAAAAAATTCCAAAAAAACAAAACGCCAAATTGCACGATTGTAAGTTGATTTCACAATCAAAAATGCGTCGGACGGGAGTCGAACCCGTGCCGCTTGCTTGGAAGGCAAGCATTCTACCGCTATACTACCGACGCCTTTTTGATGACGATTCTCTTCTTCGGCGGTTTATAAAGTTAATTAAGTTTGATCTTTATACTGATTCAGAACTCATGAATAATCCTGATGTTAGTAGGGAACACGCATTAGAATGTTCTAGAGTCAGTGACTGCCTTTGAGAGAGGATAAAAGTACTCAAATTTAAACATAATATTAATGACAATATTTTATATGTAATTCTAGAGTACAATAAAGTGAATACAATTAATATACTTTTGAATATGCTTCTATAGTTTTGTGATGACTTTATCTAGAATCTATAGAACTATAAAATATAGAAAATTATAAAAGAAACTAGAAAATAAATAAAATAAAAGAGAAACAGATAAAATAGATTTAGACAGGATTACAAGTTAATGAGAAGTAGAAATATATATAAAGGATAAGGAGAAAGATACTGGTATTTGGAATAACTAAAACAGATTATATATCAATCTTAATTATACCTCAAGCTTTGTAATCCAAATTTTTTCTTGTTTCTTTTATTTTTTTTAGTTTTTGCTATTATTTTCTTATAAATTATCAAGTTTTTGAATCAGATATAGTTTTTTATATAAATAAACTCATCTAAAAAATAATATTCTAAAGTATCTTTAGTTTATTATAAAATAGAAAAATAGATATTTGATTATTTCTAAATTTATATAAGAACTTTAGAATTTTATCAAATTTCTTTCCTTTCTCAAATTAAAATTATCCTTAAGACACTTTTTTTCTGTAACAAATCTAATTATATATACTTTAAAACAGCTTTTTTGTTTCTATTATATAAATATTGTTGAATATTTTATAATGTAAGAGGTACTGTATACATTTTTCAATTTTTACATTCAAAAGTTTTTTTATTTAGAAAAGAATGCATTTATTAAAAATAAAAAAAAAACAACTATAACTATATTTCCCAGATTTATGATTTATGTTTTATTTTTATAACCTTCAAAGTATACTACATAAAGCTTTTTATGTTTTCTATAATAATAAATAAAAGTTTGGTATTTTTTTTTTTTTATTTATTTAATCAATTCAAATTTTTCCAAGGTTTTTTTTTGTCATTTTACATACATCCAATTGAATTATTTCTTTTTGAATATTTTTATTATTATTATACTTCTACTCTCTATAAATTTAATATAATATTATATAATTATATTTTAGGTTTTAAAAGATATATTTAATATGTAATTGAAAGATACTGTCATATTTCTAATAGAAAATTGGACTTTGATACAGATTTTTAGTCCACTAAAAA